TTGATCGCGATCACAATTGCCGTTGCCTACGTGCTGGATGTGACTCGGGTGATTACGCCGTCGTGCTCCATTTTCTCAGGGGCCTGCAGCACGTCTTCACGTTGACCATAGAAATTTACGCGTCGTTTCAGGAAAGTGGGCTCACCGTCAGCTTCTTAATTGTCCGGCTGCATGTTCATGCCTCCTATATTGTTGGACCACTTCACGATCAAGCGCTGTAGACAGGTGTGCACATTGGACATAGAGTTTGTATGAAGTGACACAGAATGGTTCAATGCACGAATGGCGGTAAAGCTAATTCTGGATGGACTGTTTTTGGCAATTAGGAAGCGAATGGCAACTAAGCGAGGTTGTGTGGAATGTACCATCAACGAAACCTCACCAATCAATGGCAATTTGTGTGCAGTCACAAAAAGGATTTGTAGAGATGTCGGACGGATTTCGGCTTGGGGGCAGATTGAAAGCTTTTGTACACAATACTTTTGTAATTCCATCATCTTCCTTTTCTCATCTCTTCTTTCTCTTTTATGAACTCGACATTTACCAGTTGTTTTAACCAGCCTTTTCATTATCCGCTTGGTATCTTTGCGGTCTCGCTCCGTGATTTTCTCAGTTGTTTGTCGTTCTGTAACTGGGACCTACGACGGTTTCGCAAGTCGCAAATATGTATTGATGTATGTCTGTAATAGAAACAAAATTTGATCATGCGCACTAGCATGCCTCACGGGCTTAGTGAAATATATCGTTATTATTATTAACTGTTTTCCTACGTGCAGGAAATTTGGTCAGTCGAAGTCGAGACATTGCGACTGAACGTTGTTCTGAATGCCATTACAGTTTGAAACCTTGGTCACATTACGTTCGGTGAGCTCTTCTACATTTTTCTTTTTTGTCTTCAATGTTTTGTTTCTAAAATGAATTTAATGTCGTGTCAACCTGCTCAATCAACCGCAGTCAGACTGTCCTCCTTAGGAGAGAAAGAAAGTGAAGAAACTACCATTGTTAAGGGCTCGAGTGCTGCGCCATCCTTGAGGGGATCACACCGCAGCACGGGGTCTGCAATGAAAAAGGCAGAAGTAGAACTACGGCTGTTGAAGGATAGATCAAAAGGTGTCATTTCGACTCTTGGTAAATCGACGTTTACATGGGCAAACGTTCTTTGCTTCAGGACGGGTTGTTTATCCGGAGAGAAGAAACTGTGTACAGTCTCAGCTCGAGGTGATGTTGTGCCGTTGTATTCGGTTCTTTCACGTTTGGTCTGTTCTATCTGCTATACAGCTAATCTCAACCCCTGCTCTGATTCAGAAACCCGCAATGTTAATATATCAATATCCTTAATTTCTGAATCTACACATGAAACAGCACTGACAGGACTAACAGATCAAACATTTTCTAAAGAATCAAAATGACCCACAGCCCCCCAGTGAATTGCCGGGTTACTTCCTGTTTGGTTCCAGTTTCCTTGGTTCCTCGCCTGGGCATCTTCGGAATATTTTTCTCGTTTGATTCCATTTTGATTACTGTACGTCAAACAATTCGCACTTGAGTGACGCGTAGCCGAACCGATACGAATCCCGAAGTAAAAACACAATTGATCCGCAATGTTCTACGGTACTGAATTTACGAAATTATTACAATGTGTACAATAAAGCAAACCTCAAATATGCGGCCAAAGGCACTCAAGCAAGCGAGCCAAATATGATGTCCAGATAGAGCCAAACAGTCGCTCACATTCTCTGATCACGCGAAATTCAAATGTGCTGGGCATCCAACAAAAAATAAAGAATAATGTATGGTGTTTCTGACTGAGAAATGTCAATAGAGAAGCAACACACAGATAAAGTTATTTCAACATAAATCATTCTGGGTTCGGAAGGATTTTCAAAATTTTAACATGAAATACAACCAGCGCTTGCCGCGTTCTCTCAGACCAAGCGTTCAACTTTGATTATTGACGCATCAGATGTTGGTATTGGTGTCGTACCCGAACAGTACGGGTGTACGATTGTCTGAATCTCTCGTCCATTGAACTCGGCAGAACGAGGATATTTGCAGACACAGAAAGAAGCATTGACTGTATATTGGGCCGTCCGATGCCTGCACAAATACCTGTTTTGATTACGTTTCACCATCGTAACCGATCATCAAGCCCTACAGCACCTATTCAGCCCAAAAAAGTCGATTTCCAAACCGACAGTGACGATGATTCAGTGATGGAGCTTTGCATTGGTTGTCTAAGACTACGATATAGTTCACCGTCTGGGGGAAGACAATTCCTTAATCCAATTTTCTCTGTCGATGATCCAAATTCTCGGCGGAAAAGAGGTGCCATTTCATTGCTACTGCTGCCCCGGTATCACGAGAGAAGTTGGGCCGATTTACCAACAGATACTATGCAGAAATCATAACAGCCCTGTCAAAAGGATTGTGTCCGATCTGAAGAGGAAGCTTGCAGCATTCTATGCACATCGTGAAGAAACCAGTGTCCAACCTGACGGAATACGTTACCGCAACGATGGACTGATCATCCCACCTCCGCTACGCAAAGCCGTGCTAGAAGACCTGCACAAGGGTAAGTTAGGGGTGGAGAAGATGAAGTCGTTGCAACGACAGATTCGCTGGTGGCCCGGTCTAAATGCAGACATTGGTCGAATCGCTAACAGCTGCGAAGCATACCGACAAAAGTACAGGTTAAAACCGAAGAATGGGGCTCCATGGTCAGAAAGCTGTATTCTTTGGCAACGCATGCACGCCAACTTCTGTGGACCTTTTCTCGGTCAATACCGCGCATCAGTACTCATCGTCTCATACTTAAAATGGCCTGAATTGTTTCTAACCAGCACGCCAACCACATCGTTCGCGATGCGGGTACTACGAAAGTGTTTCAGTCGAGAAGATGTTCCTCAAGTGTTGATGACTGACAATCGCAATTATGCGCTTTGGAGTTGAAAACTTGGCTGAACAGTATTGGCCGCCGACATCTGCGCACAGCACCACGTTACCCCTGCTCGAAGGTCGCAGCAGAAAATTTGGTGAAAACGATGTGGAGTGCCACTTACTCTGTAAATTCAAGGACAATTTCAGATTTCGAGACACTCCTAGACAAATTCCTGCCGCAATACC